TTACTTTAGAACACAATTTGACAAGACGAATTATTCATCTGTACTCTGATATTACAATACAATCTGGTGTTGTGTCATCAGATCACGTGACAATTCTCACGCTCTCTTGTTTCTAGAACTATCCCGTATCTTGGCGAATGGTCTAGTATTTACAAGAAATAGGGTACGCTGGTATATATATAAGAGGGGAAAACGTGACGCGGGAATGAAAGGTAATGTGTGTGTAGATAGTGAGTAATTGAACTGCAGTCGGAAGTATTATTGACGTTCGTTCGTTACAGTGTTGTTTTAGCGCGAGTATTGAGATTAAGTGTATCGCAGAGTTATATTCGGAAAGAATAAACCAGTTTTATTAAGTAAAGACTTGTGTCGTTAAAGTTTCGTTGGAACAAAGTTACGGAAAGTTAATTAACAAACGGAGACGTAACAGTCAGAACGAATTTACGGAAAATCAATTAACGACTGGAGGCGTAACAACCAGTTTTATTTAAGAAAGGACTTGTGTCGCTAAAGTTTCGTCGTAACAAATTTACGGAAAATCAATTAACGACTGGAGGCGTAACACAATTAAAGGTAGCACGGCTAAATAGGTATTGCTCAAGTGGAGACCCAATTGGTCTGTGGTTCATGCAATTCACAGATACCAGGGATACGTGTTCTATGGGTAATTTTCACATGAGCATAAGTGGACAAGGTCCTATCGAAGTGTTGCTTGAACAAAGTGTTTGAAGTATTAACTGGGCTCTAACGATAGATTTAGAGGAGGGTAATAGCTGTAATCAGATGGTTACATTCCCCATTCAACCTAAACACTTGGCTGACCTTTCGATCACTTAACTCAGATAATTCCTTAACATGTATGAAGTTATATGCAAACCTGACATTTGCTAAAGCAGAATCCTTGCAGTAAAAGGTTTTCAGTTAGTGCTACAGTGTTGTCGTTATAGTTTCAAAAGTATTTGAATCATACTGCTTCAAGGAGATTGTCAATTCTGTTTCATATTAGCATCAATAATTATTATAATTAAATTTTAAAAGCGTATTAGTCCTCTCCACCACAGCCGAAGGTTTTAGGAATTTATCAGTAAGATCCCCTAAATATTTGTATCTCCTCACGACCCCAATGTGTCTCATGCATAGTATATGAGTCACTGTAATTTTTTCTGCCACAAATGCATCACTTTAGTTCAAACTTATTCACAATATTTTTTTTTACTGTGTTTAGTGTAAGTATTCTCCATATAATAAACCTTTCTCAGCATTTTCGTGTAATGATAACACAGTGATGATTGATGTATACAGTAAGTTGTCTCTGTTTATTTTAAATATATAAGCTATGAAATAAAACATCACAAGGAAACCTTCAGATTAAGATGTTTTTACAACATCTTATCATTACATATTTGCTAAAACTTGAACTGGTGGGCAACTTTTGAAACTTGTGATGTAAGCTTATTATTTCGTAAGAATTCTGACGTCATCATCATATATTTACTGATATCAATTTGTTATTAATATTTAAATTAAATATAAAATCCACGAGCATATGTTTCTTTCATAACGATTTAAAAATACCAACCTTTATTTTAATTTTTTACAAGATTTCTTCAAATATAGAACTTGTGTTTGAGTTAAAAATATTTCCTATTAAACGTCTAATGTTATCGTGTCGTATGAGTGTTGGATGCTTTGACTTTGAGTCTATAGTATTCATCGAGCTATTCCTGAAATTTTTTTTTTGTTATCTTGACTACATACTGTAAAGGATTTCTGTACAGTTTGTAGAAAAAATGCGTTTGTTTAATTAGCTATATAGTAACACGGTTCACTAGGAAAATAGTTTCCCTACATTTCGTATATTCAGTAACATTTTGTTATCAGATGTTAGCTCTTGTGAAAGTTGTGATTTTTGTGGCTGCTGGGTATCAGTAGTTGGCCATTATTTTTATACCACTACAATTACTAGCCTAACTAACCTTAATCTTCTTAAGTGAATTTAACTATTAAGGTTTTAAAGTTTAATGGCTTTATTAATGAAACTAAAGTGAAGACGTTATTTCTCATTTTTGATGGTAAATTAGACTTTATAACTTGAAGTAAATTCATACTTAATAATATTTTAGTTAGTAATCATCCCAATTAAATTTAAAGCTTTCTCTTTGCTCTAATTTTATGGTCCCTATTATTGTCATTACAATAAAGACACGAAATGAAACAGGTATTATTAATAATAAGCGTAATTTTGTATTAGTTTGTTTGTAGCTTTCATTGAATTTGAAGCATTAATGCTTTGAGTCTGAAACATTTATTCTTTATAAGTTGTATTAATATTATTAGTTTGTTCAACTTAAAAAAAAAAATGAACAAATTATAGTAGCTCAAAGCATTGAGTTCATTGGTTTGAATGTTATTGTTAGTTGAAAGAAACAAGAACCCGAGAATGCTATTCTTGCTCAAATGGTACAAGGATAAACTGAAGAAACAAAGGCAGCTTTAATTAAGACATTATCTCATTCAGTGAAAGTATTTATTTTTTTATGTTTTGGAGTTTATTAAACATAAACTTCAGGCTTCTGTTAAATGCTGATTACTTTCCAAGTTTATTCATTGTCATATTTTAGCTGTACAGCTAAGTATTACATGTATGAGATTATCTGCAAACCTGACATTTGCTAAAACAGGATCATTGCAGAAAACAGTTTTTAGTTTGTGCTACAGTGTTGTGATTATAGTTTCAAAAGTATTTGAATTATACCAATTCAAAGAGATTGTTTATTTTTATACCACATTGTAAAAAAAAAAAAACTATTAGTGTTAACCTGTCTTCATCCCATCATGAATAGCAATACAATGAGGAAGAATAGATCAAATACTACTAGGTAAGTGAATTTAAATATGAAATATGCTAGTTTTACAAACAGTATAGAAATGTTAAATTAAAATAGCCATATTAAATCATTGAGAAAGATCATCATAATGGAAGCTATCTGTTTGTTCTTATTTCTTTTTTCATTCATATTATTTGATGTATTGTGTGTATATTATAATTTATTACTTTCACTGATATTTTACTAAAAATGTATATTTGATTTTTTATTGTTTTTTGACTAATATTTGATGACAATTTCTAGTAATAACATGCTAAACTATTATGTAAGCTATGTGTCTAAATAAACAACTCAAGAATATAGTACATAGTATCTTCATAATGATAAGGTGTATATATATTTTTATTTTTTTCCTGAAAGTTTAACTATGTAACTCAGAAGGTTGTTGCAAGAATAACTAGAAAAAAATTTGTTTGAAATTTAATTACCTTCTCTATGTAATATCACAAAGTTAGATATACATGTAAAAAGTTGTTTACAGTACAGTTTATTTCTACTTAAAAGTTAAACATTCATTTAATTTAAAATCAAACACTTAGGTAAAGGTAGTCCAACCTGTAGACAAATTGTTTTTAAGATTTTACCATAGCCATGTTTCATGGTAGAAAAGTCTTATGTGTAGAGAGAAAAACATAAGAAAACACTACATGTTAATAAAAAAATAAATTTGTAAGTAAAACATTGTAAATAATAAAGTTAGTATATTGGGCTTAGCAACCAAAATGAGAAAAAATATTTCTCTGTAACTTTGCAAACAGATTGTAATTACGGTAAACAGTGTAAAGGATTCAAAAATATTATTCCCTTAAAAACAGAAAAATACACTTTCAGTAAATGAGAAATTGAGCAGCAGTGAGTTCCCACAATTATGTTAGATTTTGGCTTCTGATTTTTGTATTACTACTTAGATTAATTATTGTAGTGAAACAAAGCCTTAATGGTGCTCTGTTAATTGTTATATACTTTTCGTATATCTTTAGTAAATACAATAACCTTTTTAAAACATTCACACATGCCGTGATAGTTGCATGTAACAAGAGAATCAACAATAACTGCAACAAGTCGATAACTTTTAGTTATTATGAAGTGCTTTTCAATTATAAACAAATATACTTGACTGTTTAAAGATTTTAAGTTTTGTAATGTATTATATTTTTCTGGTTTTACAATTCTGTTCTGAAATTGCATACATGCATGTTACAAAGGAATCTATTTGTGAGCTAAGATTGTTAGTGTTTGCCTTTAAGCTGGCTTGAAGACTGGTAATGGATCTTGAAACTACTTTCCAAAGTTGGTGCCTGTTGCTATGTGCAACCTTGGAAGAGGGATTGCTTGTTTACTGCACATAAACTCCTAAAATACTTCTGCTACTGTGATGTTGCATAGATCTAGATTTATATAAGTAATTTTTCTCAGTTTATTTTTTGGAAGATATACATTTATATTTTTTTATTACAAGATAATGTATATCCAACAGCAACTAAGTTTTGATAAGAAATGTAATCAACTTCCAAGAAAACATATTCTATAACTTGCTGTTTTTTCCTTAAGTCATGAAAAAACAATTGCATGCATGTTGTTGTATTAAGACATTTGGTTGTACATTTAAAATTCACTTTTCTGTTTCTTCAATGCACTTATGTTTCTCAAAATATCTAAAAAAAATTTTCAATCTTTGGTGAAATAAAGTTAAATAATATTTCTACTTATAAGCAAACCTACCAGACACAAAGGACCACAGGAAAAAGGTGTTGCAGTATATGTAAGTTTATGTTATTATTATATTCATTCTAAAGATAAGTATTTATTTTTAGTCTCTTTCTACTCAATATTGAATGTATAATGATTAATTTAATTCTTCTTATTAAATTATGCAATTATTATATTTATTAAATTGCAAAAGTTATGTATGCATGTTTTTTGCTGAAATAAAATACTTTTTTGTGTTGTTGTCAAAGTTTGAAAACAAAAAGTTATTATCTCTATATAAAAATTGATAGTTAGGCATCAATTAGAATTCTATTTACTAAAAACAGATATTGACCAACTGGAAATGTTTCAGAGAAGGGCTTCTAGGATGAATCGAGTGAGGGTTATCTTACACGGATAGATTAAGATCACTTATTTTGACTTTAGAAAAAGGAGAGTAAGAGGTGATCTTATTGAATTTTACAAAGTTATCTTTCTAACAGGGTTATTGACTTATGAAGTGAATTGCTATTGGCATCAGTAGAGGTTAGCACTTTGCAAGAATTTAAGAGTAGTGTTGATTTTCTTGTTTCAATGCATTTTGTAGCATTAAAACTTTCTGTATTACTATAGTTAGCTAGGTTATGTATATATTAACACTTACTTGTCTTTATAAAATTAAAAATATTTTTATTAGCTATATTTTTGTGCCCCAGCAATACTAAGTGTGGGGTACGCATATATCTGATTCAATTTTATTGCTCATCAGGATCTCTACCAACCTACCGTCAAATCTAATTATATACCCAAATTAGTGCATCATCTGTTTTATCCATATATATACTAATATCCTTTTTAAAAAGTACAAGAAAGGAATAATTGGGACCCCAAATGGAATAGTTTTGTGAAAGAATTAGTGATAAGGTTTATAATTTGTTCTGTACTCTTGTCTGGAAAAGTCACTTTCATACCTACTTGATGAAAACTTGTTGAAATAGTGAAATTTTGATTCTTCTTAAATACGTATATGGTGATTTAGGTGGCTTTATAAGTACAATAAGTTTTAGTTTTGCGTAGTCAATACTGTGAAATAGTCATTGTTAATATTTTAAGGGTGATTTTAAACGAGGGATTTTTATGGTGCTATTATACTTAATGATAAGTGTGTTTGTGACAATTTTGACCAAGAAAAATGAATAATCACAACATATTTATTTATTAGACAAACGAATACTTAGCCAACTTAAAAAGCTAATATTCTTTTATATTCTTCAAGTAAAACAACACAAAAATTAAAGTAACATGTAAAGTTATTT